CAGTGTTTCTTTTTTTCTCTTTCTTTCTCTGTTACTCTCTTTTTCACGCGTTTGAAGTGCTTTTCTTCACTGGGGAGAGTTCAAGTCAAACTATGCACCTTCTGTACTGGATGGTAGGATTGGTCCACTTTTCGTGGCCCATATTCAGCTGTTGTTTTCTGCACACCAACTTCAACAGCTCCGCTGTTAAGACGCATTACGCAGAAATTTTAGCAAAAAAATAAAATATTTCAGCCAATCATCACTTGGGACATATTACTAGTGAAGCCGACTGGCCAACGGAAAAAGACACAAAAGAAAAACTTTCGGAATCTTTTCCCTGTTCTAGAGCGAAGAGGATAGAGATATAAAAAAACGACAGCGAAGTTAACCAAAAGAAGTCTCCGGTTTTCTGCCCTGTACTTAACAACCGGATGTAAAAAAAACTATAAGAAGAGATTGCAACGGCACTGGGCTACAAAGCAAACTTAAGAAAACAAATTCATTACTATAGCACTATCCAAGTTCTACTCATCGACATTGCCAGCGAAAGTCAATGTTTCATTTAGTCCGCATTCTTTTAGGGAACCAAAACAATGTCTTCGGAGCAGCTCGGGTAAGCCTCGAGTTAACTTGTGCCTAAAATAGTTAACAACCATTCTTGTCAACCTTTGATTTAAAGCAGCTCAGTGCGCTCATAAAGAAGTGCTATGTAAATTAAAGCCGTCTACGTACAATGACCTCAGATAATACATTTTAGCTATGACATACCAAATGAATCCAGCGATAGAAGATTTCAATGCTGGCGCACGCAACCCGTGGCCTAGCTTTCGTCTGAACATTAGGCACCCGTAGAGTCGTATAGAGAGAAAAGAAAGCAAATACAACCTCGTCAAGACTTTTTTAAGTATAAAAACTGCAGATTTATTCTGTGCTATTGTTAAGCTCTTAGTTTTGAAAACAGTGCGCAAACTTCCCACCAAAGACAAGTCGTAAACAAATCATTGCAGCAGGTTGTGAGTCATGAACATACGAGGTCACTAAACAAAAGGTAACTCAGTTGTCTTTCTTTACTGGGCAACGATGGAGTATATGTAACCAGCACAGAAATGTTTTTTTTCTTTTTTGACGTGCTCCAAGCGTGTTTCCGATGTCCTTAAACGAAAAAAAAAACAAATTTTCATTGCCAAAAGGACATGCTTCTTTTCAAATCTGGCTTATTAAACAAAAAAAACCCTGTGACTCATTTCCTCGTTCTATCGCACTCCTGTGCTGTGAAGCTTGCGTCAACCTGCGCAGTCTTTTCATACGGTGAGTAATGGGCAAAACTTACAAGGTTTTCTGAATGCGGAAGCATGACGCGAAAAACGGCAGTACGTGTCTTTCATTTACGGACCATCAATAAAAGCACGAGAGAACGCTTGATTGACTTGGTCACTTATTGGCGTGAAGAGAGTTCCTCCACTCACGCCCACTTCACTGCGAGAAATGAAGTTGTCCGATTTTCTTTTACTTAGATTTTTTTCACACTGTCGGAACGAACACAAGGCCGTCAAATCCCATAGGCGCACTCACTGTTTGCGCAATTGCGAAAAAGAGTGGCTGAGAGCGCTTGCCGGCAAATCTTCTTCGTCTAGTCTCGGCAATTCGTCAGTAGCTTGCTGCTTCAGTATTCGCATAAAAGCGATAGCCCGCTGTAGTTTATATTTTTCGTGAAGCAATAAGATAATCGAACACATCACTAATGCAGATAAATTCACTGCAAGAGGTACGAGAGAGATTACACATCATGTGCTAAGAAGTGTCATTTCTGTAATTGTTGTATTGAAGCCTAAGCGCATAAAGCTTTCGACTAAGCGTATTCATACTCATTATATTGGAAGAATATTCAAATTTTTCGTATTTTACTCATACCACACTTTCTTTTCTATTGGCAGTTTCAGAAGAACTGCGGTGTCGGAAACTGTCATGCCTTCAACCAACATTTTGAGCATTTTTGCAAGAGCATGCTTGCTTTTCAAACGACGTTCTACATTTTTGGCATAAATTGCAACAAGTGTAAAACAGCCATGATGATGGCTCAGGAAAAAATCAAAGAAAAAACTCATAACTTGTTTCGCACTAGTGTTATTTTTATATTTGTTTTACAAGTTTAAAAGAAAGTTGCCACTGCAACTCGCCCTAAGGGGCCACTCCCCACCCCGCGCTTAAAAACAAGAGGGTTGTTTTCTTCTCTCCTTCGCACCCGCGATGTATTCTCCTCGCTCCTTAATTCTTTTAAGCACGTGAACATTGACAGCACTAAGCGCTAGAGCCTGTCAGGATTTCGCACTTCTCGGCTACACGCTATTATTGCCACTTGCGCAGTTGTAAATACACAAAGTGAAGCGTGACTGGTTGCGCGTGCATGACATTCTTGCGAGACAAGGAAGAACGGATGGGCGGCTGCCTGGGGAAACAGGGCTTGGCACAAAGCACATTTGATATTTCGCGTATATGGACCAATCTAGATCATGTATGCTATAGACGTCATGTGTGGGAACTATACTGTCTGCGTCACAGGAGTGCGCAAGAAAGACAAGAAATATCAGGAGAGAATATTGCGCTCCTTTTTTTGTATTTTAAAGCCTGTTGAGTGGCTGTTTAGGTTGAGTGCTTATGCGTGCAGGTATAAATTTTTTTGCTCTATAATGTGTCTTAACGGTGTCACATTGAACACTGTTTTCAGCTCATGTGCACTGAGTAATTCGATGTAACGGTTTTGTTACCACGCAATCCATGTCTTTCACTTTTGCTGTTGTACATTTAGCACCATACTTACCTAATAGTGGGGCTCGTTCGCTGTATAATTGCCAGTGTTTGTTAGTCAATTCACTTATGCGTTTCGACAGACTACATATACAGCTGAAGCTTACGCGATGTAATTAAGCGTATACAGCGTGAGACTAACCACGTAGTGAAAGGCATTATTGGATGGACAGGTGCCGTTATTAAGTAGGAAAAAAAACAAAAAGTGAGCTTGTAAGCCCGAAAACATTTGCTGAGGTTTTAGAAAGCGAATAAACGGATAACTGCGAGTTAAATTCAGGTTTTATTTTTTGGTGTTGTAGAACACAACTCTCTCCACTCGGCACGCGAGACGCACCACCCGAGGTGGTATGGCAAAGTGGGATGAAGTAACGTACTGCAGCTGTACAAATAGCGGTCATTGACTTGATGCTCGCTTGAAGAGCAAATACAGCGTTGGAGAAGTTTTAGTACTGCTGAAAAAACTTGTATTTAAAGGCTGTACAGAACATACAAGGTTACGGACATAAAGGTTTCAAAAAAAGAAGACCCTTTAAAAATGAAGCACCTTCTGTATGGCGACCCTACGGGGTTTGACGCAGCCTACGGTGTCAAGCACCTTAAGCCTTGTTCAGAACGCCTGGCGGAACTCCTGGGCCTCTTCATATTCTCTCGGTGCTCTGCCCTTACATAACTCTCGGTGAATTGTCGTTTTTTTCCCTCTGATAAGACAGTACACTTGGTCAATCGAAAACCCGCCACAAGGACACTGCCTTCGTGGACATGTACGGGCTTACGACTTTGCCCCTAATACCACAACAACCAAAATGTAAATAAAACAAAACTAGAAAAACTCATAGAGGCAAGGGCAAGCTCAGTGAGCACACAGTTATCTAAACCGAAAGCTACGCGTACTGTGATTTGCGGCCATAACAAAGACATCTCTGGTAACATGTCAACTTATTGCCGACAGCACAGTAATCCGCCTGTCCCCGGTGCCCTTAGGTGTAACCATTGGCTCGCCGCATGCGGTTCTACTTCAGACCATCGCCTTAACCACTCAGCCACGACTGCGGCGGTTCTACTTCAGAGGTGTGGCAGCTTGGGCTAGTCGGTATGGCATGATGATAGTTATAGCGCGAGAACAAAACGATGACACAAAAACGAGAAGGACACGAGCGCTCGTGTCTTTCGTGTCCTTCTTGTCTCTGTGTCGTCGTTTTGTTCTCGCGCTATAACTATCGTCCACTTCAGAGCTTGTTTCAAAGGATTATCGGAGAAATAGCCGGAGGCATGCACAGGCGACAGCATCCATCACAGGTGCCGCTTGCAAGTGTCGCAAGCGCGCCCGCTCCCGAGAGCCAACAGAGGCCAGCCATACCACAATGAAAGGTTGACGGCGATCACACGTTATCGCAACGCGCGCCGCCTTAACACAGCGGCGCCTTGAAAGCGCGTGAACAGCAAGTGGCTGGGCCTCAGCCGAAGCGATACGAGGGGTCACCCCGGCACGCTGGGTCTCGGAAGAGGTCCACTGATGCGCACGCCGAAAGTGCCATGAGGTAATCAGGAAGTCGTACCTACCCCCTCGTCGCCCACGTGGGGGTTGGTTCCTTTGTCCGGAGTTAACGGGAACTAGAAGTGTTCGGTAATGTCATGCGAGCACCCGGTCGTGTCTGTGTGGTGAGGGCTGATCTGGTTACACACCTCGACTGAGCGACGTCAAAGCAATGCCGAAGCAAATGCAGAACAACGGCTTACATGCCTCCCGAAGCTTACCACACAAAAGAAATAAAAGTGAACCAAAACCTGCCGCGTAACCACATCTTACCGCGGTCCTACAAACGAGTTTTAAAAATAACCTGTTACCACGGAAGTTTATTATATTTTTCGGTGACTGCATTTTTTGGCTATCGGAAGGCAATTTTAGTATATTCCTCCCACCTTAATTTGGTGTAAAATAGAGCAACATTATAAGCTCCTCCTGCCGATGTTCGTGACATGATTTTTGCTTACGTTTCACTATCGCCATACAATCGTCGTGTGGAAAGTAATGTAATGAAAAACGTGGCTTGAATTCCGGGATCTAACCTTAATGAAGGAAGTGCTCGCGGTATCTGCTGAAGCGCACAAAACCATTGTGCGTGTGTTGTCCTGGAGCAACGTACACGCGCCACCAAAATGTATCTGCGGTCGGGGCCACTATTCGACACTCCAATTCTCTCGCACCCCAGGCACCTGATGCTCCTGTGCGTGCTCACCTCTGCCTCCATTGTCCTGGGCGTGCTCACCCTGGCCTCATGCACGCGCCAGTGTCAGGTATGCCTCTTCCGAGCCTCTCGTGATTGCAACCCATTTTCTGGCATGCATGCTACTACTTACCTACTGGGCAATTATCTTAGTTTATTGAGGTCGCTTTTGGTTGATTCCAAAGGGCATCGTTTCTTATTAGTCTCGCAATGTGTAATGTGCGAAGAAAGCTGGTTAAGTGACTCTTAGCTGTGTCTGATTTGTAAATAGCGGTACTGAAAGAAATGCGATTAAATCGGCGGCTCACTTTCATTGCGCGTGATGGCAATAAAAAGATGCTATAGTGGTCCTTTTTAGTATCATAGATGACTCTACTGACGTTTTATTACCATCTAGGCAACAACCGTTTCAAGAAAAATGCGCAAAAGCAGAGAGTGTATATGCTGCACTATTCGCATTCCTTATCAGTCGCACTTTACTCCTTAGTTGATATCAGACAAGACTTCAATTGAATGTACCAATATTATATACAATATACATCGCAAGTTTGTCCAAAAAAAGAATACGTGTGAAAAACAAATATTTCATCAAAATAAAAATGATTGGACGTGCACTTTGTCATTGGCATGCACTTCCTGGAAATGTAACAATATGGGTGACTCTTCCTATAGCGCAAAAGTCGAACAAATGTTGACTTTTAGGTAAATCGTTTTTTTTCTTCTGGATTAAAAAAAGATACACCACTGATTCTAGTTACACTCGTTTCAGTATAGCAAACATAACTGGCAAATCTGGCGGATTAAGGCTTACTCACAGTCGCAGCAAAAAAAAAAATGCTAACTTGGACCCCCATACAAGCGGTGTGCGGGACATGCGCTGAACTGGCAGGAATCAGAAGAGTTCAGCGAATATTTTGGCTATGAATTCGGTTTAAGCACGCTCTGACAGCATACACTGCCGTGGCCTGAAAAATGGCTCCTTTGCAACACATACCACGTATCTATTTTGCTGTGGCTTCCCGAACGATGGTACATGCTTCACTGTGTGGCGGAACCAACACAGCTCAAATTACAAGCTATTGTCAACACTTTGTAATTGCAGAATTTAAAGTCAATCTACATCCATTGATTCGGAATCGTAAGAAGGGCACCAGCATCGACACATTTATTTCCAAATCATGCTATTCAAATACGTTGGAGTTCCAGGTGGTCGTGCCTCGTAGCGGAGGAGGAAGTCCGTTAGAGCAAATAACACTCGTGCCACCGCTGTATCTCACGCCACCGCTTCTGCAGTGGATTGCCTTATAATTTCTATTTCAAAACTTACGTAAAATGAGATTGGCTGGAGTAGTGATGATTCCAACGCCACTATTTTTTATTTTATATTGAAATGTGGCTATTACTAAACTCTGTGGAAGGAGGAATACCTAAATATTGTTGTTTTTCATTCAACTTTTGTCGTAAATAATGCATTAGTATTTTTACATGAATGGTACTAATTTGACATATTTTTCTTTATTAACTCAGTCTATATAAAAAAATTTGAAGTTGTGAATTTATGAATGAATTCTATATAATTGCAAAGTGCGCCTTTCTGATTCTAACTTCAGCGTTAAAAAGGAGAAAAAAAAAACAGCAGAAGCCTCCCTTCCGCTGCACTACCGCAGTAGCAAAGGCCGTGAGAAGTGGTGATAAATATGTATGTAGCTTGCAGAGTATAACTCCAATTTTTACTATTGATTTTCAGTTGAAGACTCAAAAATTAGAATGACACAACCAAGCACGTACTTGCGTTGTTAAGTTATCCACTACGACGCTTGCCTCGCTGGATGTTCGCTGGGAGGATTTCGGTTGGAAGTTTCGCGATGCATGGGCGGCGTGTTCTTTGGCAAACGCTCAGCTCGCCCATAGTGACTATGTCACAGCAGTCGTGAGTGAAATGAATGGCAAGCATGGCCGGTATCACCATTTTCCGAGAGATTGATTTTATGAAGCTTGCCTCTTCGCCTTGTGTTCTCGCATCGCGAAGAAATAAAGCTTAGAAAGGTTTTATGGCACACGCGCCTACACTGTCGAAGCCTCTAATGCTTCTGTACTTTGTCGAAAGCTATCTGAGGACTAACTACAGGGGTAAGTGGTAGAGACTACATAAATAATGGCCACCTGCACAACCCGCAGGTGCGCTCATAGAGCGCACCGTTTACTACACTTTATCACGCGCAGTTCCTTTAAACAAACTACGAATGTGGAAAAACCTAAAAATAGCGGCGAATGCTTACTCGTAATCCTTACCTCATTTTATGACACATGCTCACCGAATTTCTTATTGATTAGGCTTTCAAGCAACTATTTTGTACATTCTCACTTAATCTGTTCATTTTTTTGTCAGTTTTTTGTGTCAACAGCAATTTTCTAGCGATTATATAGTGCTACACTCTTAATCAGGTATCGCTTAAGGTGCTGGACAGAACTAGGAAAGTTGCCACTTTTTCGTAGGGTTTTCTTGGTATAGCAAGTATAAAAACAGGACCTGACTAAGAGTGTAAAATCTGAGTGCGTGGTGGTTGATTGCTGACAACTCAGCAAGCGTGGCAGCTGGGTATTTAAGGTTCTCGGCTGCTGACCTGAAGATCGTGAGTTCGTTCCCGGCAGTGGCAGTCTCATCTCGAGGTAGGCACAACGCTGGATGTCCATGCACTGTACGGTGTCGGTGCGCGGTAAATAATCCCCAACACGTGATCAAAATTGTCCCGAGCCCTCCAACACGGCGTCTTTTGTAAATCTCGAGTAGCTACAGGAACCCAACTAACCAAATGACGCTCACAGCTAGCTGAAAAAGGACACAAAGCTAAATATACCTTCCATGATCGCACGTAGCTGGTGCGACTGAATTTTGTGCTGGCAGCGGGACCGCTGATTACACTAACGTTGTGGCAACTGGTTCGAGTGCCGGACCTGTAGCTGATGTACCGGTGGCAATATGTCATCGGCAAGTTTTTGATGGAGTCACCTTTTTGTTGTCTCTTTGTCACACTTCAAAGTATTACAAGAAACGTGTATTGTTTTGCGCGTGTATAACTTTTTTTATTTATCCTTGCTCTATATCAGCTATATAAAAACTGTCATTTTTTCTGTGTTTCAAACGCTTGTGATTGTCTGTTTGCTGAACAATGATGAAGCCCAACAATTATCGTTCGTGATCGTATACATAACAGCCCAAAAGAGCGTTAAGAACATCTTTCTGAAATTCTAACGCATTCTTCTTCTGTAGTTTGTTAAACTGTACAAACACGCACACGCAAGCACGCACACGCACGCACACACGTACGCACACGCACACACATTTAGTTTTGCTACGTTCTTGAGCCCACCTCATGTGCGTATTTTTTTTCATATCACTTAAAATGCCTCATCTGAAGTAAGGGAAGAAGTAAGGACTCGTTTTCCTTGTTAGGCACAATATTATTGTGAACTAACAGACAATAGGGAGTTTTAATATACCGTTTGCAAGCGCTGCGGACGTTGCTGCGAAGCGGGCGCCATAAGAGCTTTAGAATAGTGTTTGCCCTGCTGCAAACCGCAATGCACGATCACAACGACACCATAGTCTCGAAACCAGTGCCTGCGGGCACATGCGGGCACATGCGGGCCGCCATCACCGCACGCAATTTCAAATTTTTTGCGTGCGGTCCGCGAACGCGAACGCCGACTCACGTTACGACGCATGCCAGTGGCAACGATCGTACCACAAGGGCTTGCGGTGCGCTATTCTAAAACTCCCTAAGGATGCGAATGAATGTTTAGTGGATGTTGTTAGAAATGATCGTGATGGGAATGTGAATAAAAGTGGAGCAAAAGATAATTTTCCGCCGGTTGGTAATGAACTTCCGACTTTCGAATAACGCGTATGATGCTCTACCACTAAACTGTGGCAGTTTTCTTTCTTCACATTTGCATTAGATTTGCTTCTAATAGCACTTTCCTTTGTTGACGTCACTGTCTCTTAGTCCTCACTTGAAGTACCAAGGTTTGCACCGAGCAGGGCTAAATGTTCAGCTGAAAAGCAACAAATATGGCCATATTCCAATGAGAAAGTTGTGCATTGGTTTGAAAAATGTCGCATAGCTTTTAGACCTATGTCTATTAAGTATAAGGGTTTTTCTGATGAACAGTAATACCCGCGAAATCCAAAAAAAGGATAATAGATGAATAATTAAATGCCCCGTGACATGCCTATTGTGTGCCTAGGCGCGCCGTAGTTGCAGTGCTTTCTAACGATCTATGCACAAATGATACGCTTCGCTCGTAGTGGGTCATGACCGCGATAAGCAGACAGAGTGCTTATTGCTTGTGTTGCTGCTAGCGAAACGTGCGTGATCGCACATACACCACCATCGGCGCTGTCCTGTCGACGCAGTACAGCCGAACAGCCGGCCTAATGCTACGGTACTTTTCACACAGAACGTAGGGGAGCATTGTAATTACCACGCATAGGTGAACAAGCGGGCACGTCATTTTTTTCGTGGGGAATGCATAGTACCAGAAAAAAGAACACTGATACTTATAAATTATAAGTTATATAAACTGTCTCCTTGAACATTTGCAAACCTTTCTACAGCTTTCTCTCCATAAGTTTTGCGCAGTTTTGTTGCTTCAAAAATTTGTAAATTCAAATGCCTAATTATTATAAGAAAACAATAAAATTGTGTGACTTACTCCATGCAACAGTCGTCAATATGCATTTTGTCGCGTCCTCATGCACATTAGTTGAATGATTGATTTGATTGATATGTGGGGTTTAACGTCCCAAAATCACCATATGATTATGAGAGACGCCGTAGTGGAGGGCTCCGGAAATTTTGACCACCCGGGGTTCTTTACCGTGCACCCAAATCTGAGCACACTGGCCTACAACATTTCCGCCTCCATCGGAAATGCAGCCGCCGCAGCCGGGATTCGAACCCGCGACCTGCGGGTCAGCAGCCGAGTACCTTAGCCACTAGACCACCGCAGCGGGGCCACTCATGCACATTGGTGCCTTTTGAAACTTTGGCTCGAGATAGCTGGAGCTTCCTTATAAAGTTGGCACGCCTGCTTTGTCAAGGAAAACAATACCCACGTGAGCCTGAGGCGCTCATTGAGCGTTAAAAGTGAGACCAGTTATTTGCTTCATTATACAGGCGAACCATAATGAAGTGCTAGCATAATCTTGAATGAATGAATGTCTTCTTTATTATAGCTTAAAGATCGGTAATGTCTGTAACAATAACTGCAGTTAAAGTTTTAATATTTGATGAAGTATTTCATTCACTACGCAAAAAAAACTGAGATGCCAGACGCATGAAGTAGGTAGGAGGTGGTTGATAAAAATGGTGAACAGTTAGGAAGCGCTTTTCATAGCTCTTTAAACGCTTCAAAAGCTAAATTTCAGCTATATCTAGAGAAGATGCTGGAATCTGTGTTAAGCTCCGTGTTCATAAGTCGTGGTTTTCATATCATGGCCATTGTAGCGAATTTACGGGAGATACCGAGTTAGTTGGTCATAATGCACTTAATATGACACATTTACTGGTGCGAAAAGCAAACGATAAAAATTTTTTGCGAGACAAAGCACTGGTCTTGAGTTGACAATTTGTTTTTCGCTAGATATGTGGAGAAGACCACCTACACATAAACGCTTGCGCCAACAGATGCTCAACGAAATGGAACACACCGAAAAATCACAGTGCGCAATAAAACCATCATCAAGAGATAATACCATTCGACTAGTCATTACGAGTCATTCGCTAGAAGGTTCCTCTTAAGGTGCGTCATTTCTTTTTCTGCTGGCGCTGGCGATTTTTGAGTGCCAGTGCAGTCGGTGGCGCAGAAAGCAATGAAGGCTTGCTAGTGTATAATTAATGCCGACAGGTCTCCGGGACCACTCGTAGATTAGATGGGCACCATCAAATTGGCTGTGAATTCACTGTCTATATTTTTTTACAATTTGTTTATGTAGGGTTCGTCGATGTCCTGTTTCCGTAGTGCCTGCATCACTGCTGATGTCCCGACTGAGTCAAACACGTTCTCGTAATCTATGAAGCCTGCGTAGAGGGGTTGGTTGTATTCCGCGCATTTCTCTATCACCTGATTGATAGTATGAATATGGTTCGTTGTGGAGTAGGCTGTACGAAATCCTTCTTAGTCATTTTGTCGATTGAATCGTAATTTCTTCCTATTTTAATAACTATGAAATAACTATTAACTATATTACCTAACTATGAACGATATTAACTAACTATTAACTATTATTTCTGCTTATAGCTTGTAGAGAACAAACAGCAATATAAGCTGATTGGCCTGTAATTTTTCGAGTCCTTGACGTCTACTTTCTTATGAATTAATATGATGTTGGCGTTCTTCTAAGATTCTGGTACCCTTCATGTCAACAGACATTTCATATATAAGGTGGCCAGTTGTCTAACACAATCTCTCCGCCGTCTTTTGGCGCGTCCGTTTTTACATTATTCTCATCAGTGGTTTTGCCTCTTTGCATTGCTTCTACAGCTCTCATTACTCCCCCCGTCGTTACTGCTGAAATGTCGAACTTCTCTTGGCTGTCATTGCTTCGTACAATATCATCCTGGTTATTTTGGGCTTGTATACAGATCTTTGTAGTAGTTTTTCACCACATCAACTATCCTATCGATATCGGTTGTAACTTAGCCTTCTTTGTCCTTTAACGCATACATCTAATTTTTGCTTATGCACAAGCTCTTCTTCACAGCTATCAGGCTCTTTCCGCTTTTTGTTGCATGTTCGATTCTCTCCACGTTATATCTTCTCATGTCGGCACCCTTACTCCTATTGATTAAATACAAAAGCTCTGTTATCTCTATTCTGTTACATTTGAGGTTTTCATGGCTTGTCGTTTCTTAATGAAATTTTTCATCTCCTGAGATAGCTTGCCAGTGTCCTGTATAGTGAATGCACCTCCGCATTTCATTACACACTCTTTGAATATACTAGTTAGATTATCGTTCACCGTGTCACGCTAACGCCACTTATCTTGTTTAGAGCCGCAAATCTCTTTTGAAGCAAAACTGAATTCTTGTACTTGACCTCTCAACGCTACCTCATTAATTGACTTCTTGCATTTCACTTTGTGCCTGTGTTCTTCTGAAATCTAGGTGAATGCAAGCTCTTACTATTCTATAGTCACTGCATCAGATCTTGCCTACTACTTTTGCATCATGTACAATGCGCGGGTGTGCACACCGAATAAAGTTTATTTCATTTTTAGTTTCACCATTTGGGCTGCGCCACGTCCACTTACGGTTCACTCGTTTTTTTTTAGAAGGTATCCAATATCCGTATATTATCACGTTCTGCGAACTCTACTAACAACTCTCCTTTGGCATTTCTAGAATCGATGTCTTATTCCTCCACTGCATGATCTCTCTATATATATAAAGAAAGCGACAGAATACCAAGAAGGGTGACAGAATACCAAGACGCGATTTCTTTCATGCTATTCAATGCGTATGTGCAGGAGGTTTTCAGAGCCTTATATTGGGAAGAGTTGGGAATAAGAGTTGATGGAGAGTATCTTAGTGACATGCGATTCGCCAATGACATTGCTTTGATGAGTGCAACAGTCTCCCCAGAATACAGCGCTTTGGGATAAGAGGAGAGTGGTTGGAAGTGGTAAAGGAATGCGTGTATTTAGGACAGGTAGTAACCGTGGAGCCGAATCACAAGAGTGAAGTAACTAGACGAATACTAGTGGGATGGAACACATTCGGCAAGCATTCTCAAATCTTTTATGGTAATCTACCACTAGCCCTCAGAGGAAGGTATACATATAACAGGTGCCTCTTCCTGGTTACACTTACCTACGGTGCAGAAACCTGGAAGCTTTCAAAGAGGGCTCAGCTGCAATTTAGGACGACGTAGCGAGCGATGGAAAGTAAAAATATAGGAGTAACCTTAAAGGGAACCTGCAACTTTTGTTGAGCATGGTAACAAAATTCTGCCGATTGATTGTAGAGGGTCCCGAGAACACGCGACACAAATGGTATAGTGCTGCAAGTGGCCTGGAATTCATGATAAATTATCGAAATCAGCAAAAAATATTTCTTTTTTATGAACAAATGACGGAGCAAGTTAAAAAGACATTCGTAAAAGGCCATTTATTAGCCATTGGCTGATTTTAACACGGCGCGCTTGGAGGTTACAGGGATCGCCGCGAGACGCCATGACTTGTCCGCGCGTGTGCGTGTGATTACACAGAAAAGAGCGGCTAATTTGAAAAAAAAAAGAAACAGCGCTCAAGGTCATGAGGCACACGTGAATTATTCTCGTTGCCTATGTCGTACCTACCTGCTCTGCTTCCACCGCTTTCGTCGAGACGAGAGAAAAGAAAATGCGATTGCAGCGTACCACAAACCTTTGTAACTGCGCTCTTACTGGACGGATTCTTGATAAAGTTTTGGTTTTGTGCTTTCTGCTTCCACTTAATATTTAAAATATAGAGTGGAAGCAGAAAGCACAAGACCGGGTGGATTGGCGGATCCGGGGAGAGGCCTTTGCCCTGCAGTGGGCGCAGTCAGGTTGATGATAATGATGATGACCCAAATGGGCTGGTAATACCGTTCGCTGCCTCTTTCTTTCCTCATTTTCTTTCTCTCTGTACGCTACTGAGCCACTTAGCTCGTCCCCCTAAAGCAGGATAGTAAACTGCGCCTGGCGAAGCTTCCTACCTTTCCTTGCTACTCTCTATGTTTCTGCCTCTACGAGAGGCTAAATTTTCTTGAAGCGGATAACGAAATGGTTTTAGACTAAATGCGACAAGCTCTTTTTTCTTAAGGCGAAAGCCTTACATGCCTTATCAAATGCGGAAACTGACCGTTGGAATCAGCATCCCGAGTTCGACGACGTCAACACTAGTTATACAATGGAATCGTGGTTACGTGGTGATGTCGCCATATGACGTCGACGTCATAGTGGCATAATAGATCGTCAAAGTTTGTGACGTCAACAGTACGCCGCTATGGCGTGAACACGACAAGACTTCATATGATGACTTTCATCACATTACACTGTCGCTTGGTTAAAAAGTATGCCGATCAAGGAGTAAGTGTAATACTATGTTAGGTGCAGAAAGCTTGCAATGCCTGTGATTGCTGAGGTTGTGTAAAAGTAAGTTAGGTGCAGAAACCCTTCAGAAGATGGTGGGAGAGGTTATGCATATCGACTGAGAAGAAAATGAGGATGAATATCGCCTTCGAATGGTCTTATGTGAATGCATATAAGAGTCCCTGTAGTTGTTGTTCTGTTTCAGTTCTTCTTACTTTTATTGGGGTCGTGCAGCATATTGCATGATGAATTGCAAAGCACTGACGCAACGCAGGAGAAAAACAAGCTCTCTAAATTTTTGCCTCCATCAAGATGCGGCAACATGATCCCGTGAAAAATTAGGTTTAGCAATCAAGGACCACAAGCACTAGGACACCGCGACAGCTTTTCTCGCGTGTAGTAATATATTGTGTGATCAGTCAAAAGAGTTTTGTACACAAAGTGGGCGTGCTTCGTAGGTCACTGTATTAGTATCTGTACTGCCTGCAAATATGTCTTTGTATGCATGAACAATGCTCCAGTCATGTCTATAAACAATGACGTATACCTTCTTCCGACACCTTATCTATAAATCTGTTTCTCTCTACTATTCTTTTTTTTTTCTTCCATAAGAGCATGGACGGTGAGAGTTCAGCGCACACCACAGCAATTCATCCCGCGTGCATTCATGGACTTGCGGGGAGTCTGCTGCTTCGCATCCTGTTCTTCGTTACCACGATCCTCTTCATTATGTCGGCGACTTTCATAAACATGGTACGTTTGTTGCCCATCGTGGCCATTCCCTGATATTATTAAAGTATTTGCAATGTAGAAATTGTGTATACATAACAGCTGTATTTTTTGTTCTATGTTAAAGCATTATAGTGAGAACAACATATGTAAATACGAAAGAGCAATAAAAGACCGCCTAGTTATGATTGTGCTTGTTATCTTCCAAATGATCGCTTAAGAATGACTTTTTCAGTGCTTTAGGTTAATGAAATAAACGAATGAAATCGAAATGCATAGCCTTCAGTTTCCTACTGTAACCATTTTATGGAGTTAGCACTAATCTTAATCAGGAAAGCCAAATAAATTGGTATTAGTCTGAAGAAGCACTGACATCAAATTTACTCATGTCAAGATTTTCGCGCCAACGAGTAGCTATCAACCCCCTATAGTAGCGATTCCCGACCTAAAACGCGTCTGAGTGACAAATGTGTATCTGTAATATTGAATATGTTAAGGCGTCTATTAGCCGGCAACGAGCGAGAATATACAATGGCGACAGTCACGGCCAAGCACGGGCTCTCAGCGCGAGCGGCGTCCTTGTTGGGTAGCCCCACTAGGAGGTACTCAAGAGTTCGACCCATTTCAGAGTTCGGAGGCTTTGCTACAAATAAAATATTCGCTATCGAACGCGGTTCCAAATGATGGGTGGAAAGCCCGCCAAGTTGTAGTGCTGGCAGTGCTACCTCGCGGCCACCTCAAGGACGCTGCACAGATGATGCCGCTTTCACAAAAAATGATTACGTCATTCTGGCGTTTCGTCTGCTAGGAGCTTATGTACAGTCAGTCCAGCTATCTCTCTGAAGGCATAGACATGCCTCTGTCACCAATTGTCCCCGCCGTCATGTCGGTCAACATCGGCAAATGATGATGAAAGTGACCTGCAATTGGGTATCGCCGCGATTCGCAACGATCCTTGCTTGACAAGCTCCGCGTTAAATGCGATGTATTTATTAGTCCCAGTCGTACTGTTGGAGCTCAGGAACACCAACTACGCACCTCATGTCGCGGACGTATGGCGAGTCAGCCGCTGCTTCAGATGCAGCGGGGCACACGATAGGTAAAGTCCCGGCCTCGAGAAGAGACCTCGTACTGCCAGTGAAACCAAACTGGTTCGCCAACACAGAATTCACCCTATAGCAGCTCGCCGCAAAGTGAAGGGAGTGAATGCGGCTGTTGTCGACAGGCGTCCAGTCCCTCTAACCAACAGTGTATACCAAGTCAACCCACTGGCTGCAATGAAGTTCGTGGCTTGGAAAGGCATGAAACGCCATGAACTCTTTGCTTTTTTCGCGCCTCGACGTGCAGATTCTCCCTACGCAGCGTTTCCCCGACATTCTGGCACGCACTGTCGCTCTGTATGATCGCACTCACACGCAGTGGAGCACAGCGCAAATCAGTCGATGCGACACGATGAATCGCACGCACGCTTACACACAGGCAGGAGAGAGCCACTAGTGAGGGCATGGCTGGGAGTCGGCTCCAAACACACTCGGAGATCGACGACGTCATCGTTACTAGCGTATCGTCACTCAGGATGGCATTTGTGGAATATATCACAGCAAACACGTAGCACTAGTGTCGATGTTGCAAGGCAGTCTTTTTTTCGTCTTTTCTCCTCAGCTTTTACATGCTGTTTGATGTCAAAATAAAATAACTTCGACGCGATGGAAACCATTTGAATTCGGCCAAGAAGACCTCTGCATACCAAGTGATTGAATGATGGGCACATCTCGATCTTGAAATTTGATGTCATTGCTACTTTAATTTTAAGTCACTACCAGGTGGTTGACAAACTGAAAATCTAATTATTAATGTGTGGGGTTTAACGTCCCAAAACTACCATATGATTATGAGAGACACGGTAGTGGAGGGCTCCGGAAATTTCTACCACCGGTGGTTCTTTAACGTGCACTCATATCTGAGCACACGGGCCTATAACATTTCCGCGTTCATCGGAAATGCAGCCGCCGCAGCCGTGATTTGAACGTGCGACCTGCTGGTGAGCAGCCGAGTACCTTAGCCACTACACTGCCACGGCGAAAACTGAAAATCTAACCAAACAAAAAAAATTATAAAATACCCTAATGTTTCTCAGTCAGCTGGGCCTTAGCACCACCGATTGAGTTCAACAACGATGCAAATACGGCGCACCTGGATGGTTGCCTGCAATTCAGTGGTGACTGACGTGAATTGTGGAGCGTGCCTTCGATGTCTTCTTTACAAGCTACTGTGCAATTTATAATTTTTACAAATGCAAAACCTGAGAAAAAAGTTGTATCTTCACTAATACGTCATTATAATAATAGTAATAATAATAATAATAATAATAATAATAATAATAATAATAATAATAATAATAATAATAATAATAATAATAATAATATATTATTATTATTATTATTATTATTATTATTATATTATTATTATTATTATTATTATTATTATTATTATTATTATTATTATTATTATTATTATTATTATTATTATTATTATTATTATTATTATTATTATTATTATTATTATTATTATTTTAAAAATTATAAATATTTGGGCTTGACCTTAACTAACAATCAATCCTGGAACGTCCACATAGACAACATATGCTCAGCTGCCCTCCGAAAACTCGGCTTTTTAAGACATAAACTGCATAACTGCCCTCCAAATGTAAAGCTTCTTAGTTATTTTTATTTTACTAAATTAGAATACGCGAGCACAGTATGGGATCCTCACACAAAGTTTATTATTGATAAAATTGAGCGGGTTCAAAGGAAAGCAGTTCGTTTTATATACAACAAATACTTACTATCTGATCCACCCTCTGCACTAATGACTGCAAATGACATTCAGCCACTTGCTTCGCGCAGACTCAAACAACGGCTTGATTTCTTTTTCTTGTTACTTAACAATAAACTCGCCATTGATCCATCCCCGCCTCTATCTTTCCTATCAACTAGGCAGACCCGACATCACCATCTCAATTTGCTTACCCCATATTTCGCGAGAACTGATGTCTTTATGTATTCTTTCTTTTCACGAACAGTGTCTGATTGGAACAAATCATGTGATCCCCATTTATTGTGAATTAAGTTGAGTGAATTGCATTATGTTTGGTACATGTTATTTTTGTGTTTTTTGTATGTGGTGTGCCCTTCCTGCTTGGACCATTTATGGTTCGCAGTATGTACTGAATAAATAAATGAATAAATAAAAATAATTGAAAAGCTATTATTATTATTATTATTATTATTATTATTATTATTATTATTATTATTATTATTATTATTATTATTATTTCTTTTTTGCTGAGCAGTGAGGAATTTTCCGACTGTCCTTAATTTCCAATAGGTGGACTTCAGCAAAGACCTCCGAGATCTTCTAGATAAAAATGTAACTTAACGGTGAAAGTTACACTCATATTCAACGAATGAAACTTGTATATGTAGAACCTGTTTACAGTAGGAAATGACTGAACGATAAACAACAATCAGTAAGAAACATTTCTTAAAGACCGCAGTTGTCAAAAATTGACATTGTCAAAAGTGATGGTAGAGGAGATTTTGAGTCGTTGGAACATGCTGGCGACTCGTAAAAACCTCAGCTGGCGCGCAGGCAACCAGTTCAAGGCAACCTGTTTTCCAGTATGAGTGTACTCTGGTAACCCATGGGCAAACAGTCTTCTTCCCAGAGACTGCCACACTGCTGCTGGCGTCGTCGATTCAGTTCGCCACAGATATTAACGAACGCTAATCTGGGCTATGGTCCAACCAGACGCGAAAGTACAATACTGTACCAATAAGAGCGGACAGGCCCTGCATCAACACTTCTATTTGCACGAACTGGTTCAGTGTGGAGCAAGTACATACAAGCTTCAACAGACACCCACAAGAGAAATGACGCCTATACACAAAAGCGCTTGGGTACATGTCGTTTCTCTCGTGCGTGTCTGTTTTGACTGGTACTTCCTTGAGCCCTGCAGGGAGCAGGCGATAGTTTGCTTATTTATAAGGACTTATCAGCGCACCTAGACAAGTGGCAGGTCTTAATTCGAACAGCATTTTGTGTTCTGGCGTAGTTGGCTTCAAATGAGTTGGACATTCTGGGCCGGTTTAGTCGCAATTCGCTATTTCTGCGAGTTATTTTTTGCGTTTTCTTTCACATGTTTTTCCCTGTTTCTTTTTGAAAACACAATATAATTATTATTGTACCTTCAGATCATTCTTGGCGACATAGAGGCCACTTCCTAGAATCTGCGTGCATTGTTTACACATGTGCATGATACTTGCTTCTTTTCTAGATTACTTGTGGGAGCACAGGCGGAGAGCACATCATTATAGCTAATAATGACAGCAGCGGAAACTTTACGACTGAAATCATTGAGGAAATACCTTATGATTGCGGACTCGTCCGAGTAAGTATTTTCTTTTTTAAATTACCACGGAATGAGTAAGTAGCCTTATTCTTCACAGACCTTGAAACAAGTAGTATCGATGCTGTTTCCATAGTACCATAGGTCATTATGGCTATTTTTTTTTCAATTCCAACACTCGTGTAGCAGCAAGAAAAATATAGTGACCCGCAGACTTCCTCTAACGCTGACAATGTGCAGAGTATGTGATAATTACAGAACACATTCATACACTATACACTTATGAGCACTAAGTGTTTCAAACTTGAAATGTTCCCTATTTGTTTTTCTTTCGCTTTCAAACTGTGCAACATGTTTTGAAAAATGATCCCCCGGGGGTATAACAAAGCAACAACAACAGATATGAACAACGTGTGGTCGGTCATGAAGCCAATGAAATAACTCACTTTTCACTTGAAATCTGAGATAACCCAGTGATGATAAAAACATCAACGACGTAAAAAAAAGAAAATAATAAATGCCATAATCACGGCTGACTGTTCTTAACATCGGCGCTGTTTAACTTTGTCTGTATTCAATAACTCGTTCACCAAGGCATTGTCGGTTGTATTTGTGAAAATGTATCCATCTCACGGTCTCCTACAGTCCTTGTTCCCGACAAATCTTATAACAATTTAAGTACACAGATTGACCTGCATGCGTGCTTATCGCCACATGTTTAAAGCGAGTAGCTGTTTTTTCGCTTTCTTTTGTCGCTCAAGTTTAGTAATGTAGTAGAATGTTTCTATAATGCGCAGCGTAGAATTCTGCATCTCAACTTCACACGATTTTCAGTACAACTAGTTGTTCTCGACTCAGCGATTCAGGTCTATTTTTTTTGCAAAAAAAACAATGTGTTTTATTATCAAACTTCACCGCTAACAAAGCATCGGTGTATCCGCGAAAGTTTTTATTTTTTTTTTGAAATAGCCAGAACGAAAATGCCAGGTCCTTTGAGGATGCCTCTTCCAAACACTAGATGTTTCAAGTTATGTTCAGTTTTTATACCAAGGCCCCACAAGTTTCTCGATTTGCGTTGCTCTTTAGTCGCTTTACGAGATAGTTACTGTTTAGTCGTCTTTAAACACGTGTTTTATTGCTTTCGGCTGTACGGCTTCAATATGTTTTCTCTTAGTTTTTTTTTTTAAGAACAAAAGAAAAGAGACCATTTTTTAAATTAACAAAACGCATTGACAGGCAATAAATTCATTGGGAACATGCTGTTCTTTTTCTTCTTTCCCTCTTTTTATTTCATCTTGAACAGTACCAACTACCATGCTCAATGCTAGCACTGACCACTGTGTCGGTCTACCTTAGAATAAATTTCCTTTTGAAGCTGCTGGCAATGATGAATGGATTGGCATCATTTTCGCTGGCATTCATCTTCTTCCGGTCTGACCTCTACGGCGATTCACTGGAACCTGAACCTGGGTGCGTCGGGCTACTCATTATTTCTTAACTACGCGGTTCTTGTCTTCCTTGAAGTGCATTCTTTTCGCGCGTGGTGGCAGATCAGTTTTAGCAATGTAAGTTAATTTTTAGCAGCGCCTCAGAGATCATCACTATAATTTGTCTTCCTTGTTCTTACCGAACCTACCACTCAGAAGTGCCAAGTTTTAAACGAGCTGACTGTGACCTCATGTGCGAATCATTCCTAATTTTATGTTCACTTGAACGCTGTTTTCCTTTCTATTTCTTAAGCACATTGCAATGTAATAGAATAAGGAGCCGACACTGATAGTAACGTTAAATTAAATGGTGAAATACGGAGTTGTAAAGGTACTAAGCGTAGGTCTAGGCCATTATAGCCGGTTTGTCGCGTAGGCTCATCTGCTGTAGAATTAGATGCCACATTTGCTTTTTCTGTTTTAATATCAACAAATTCATGTGAAAAAGAATGAAACGATTTCATTCTGGGTTATGCATAAATAACAATGTTACAGCACATGGCTATTGCTGAACTTCAGCACATGCATGAAACAGTCCAAGATGTCTGCGTACACAAATGCGCATGTTTGTGTGTCGTGTGTGCTACTTAGTGAAAAGAAAATTAAAATTCAGCTCACGTGTTGGAATCTACTATAAACGTTGCTTTCTTGAAGTGGCTTGGTAATTGGGATCCATATTCATATCAAACATGCTATTCTTCACAACGTTTTGCTCTAAACCCGTTAGGTACATACAGGTAAGACACGATGGGAGCATCACAATAAGCATAAGACCTGCAACCACCACCTCTGAAAAAAAAAACGAAAATGCTTGCAAATTCGGCATTGAGATTTCTAGGGAAGCCCATTTGTAGAACATTATTCTGAAGACTCGAACTCAATCCCCTGTGTCCCACTACAACATGCCTGCAAATATTTGAACTAAGTATCCATTCAGCATTCCTCTTCCGTTCACGAAAAATTGCATCATCTGTCCCCTCCTGACCTATATACTTTGACTATTCCTTGCTTTTTTTTTTAACTTAGCAGCGCTGCCTTACAGGCAGAACACGCTTTACAGAATAAATTATGACGTGCCACAATTCATTCATTCAATCATTTCATTTTATGCGCAATTTTTACGATAATCATAAATGCAATTACCAGGGCAAATTAGCTTATTAATGGTTCAATTACCTGCAGAACTGATGTTACCCTAATTAAAGCATAAATTTTGCTCTACACTATCGGCCCAGCACAATTTTTCTGGAAAAGACACAGAATATGCATGGAGCCGCATTATTGGCCCACTTAAACGTTTTCTATGCAGTATTTTTTCCGCTGTATGTGAATCAATCGAGTGAGTATGAACGTCACCTACGCGTTTTCATGTACAATGAGTGACCATGTCCAAGCATTATTAATACAATATGATCAAAAGTATGTTGATACAATAGTGTAGGCTGCCAGACCTTCCCAGACAAAGTCTTTCAGTAGTAATGACTAGCTTTTTTATTGCATTTTTCCAGGCTATCAAACGTGCCGTACAGCGCTTACGCAGCTCTTTTTCTCGTGTTCTACGTGGTTGTTCTTCACATTTTGGATAGGCAGGTATGTGACAACTACCGAGTGCTTTCTATTGTACATCGTATTATTATTGTTTACCCATAGAGCTATAAGAAGTGTTTAGTCCAGAAAAGATAAATTCCGGATTTTTTTTAGCCGGTAGTGTGCAACGCTTCTTTTTTTCTCTTGCTTGGTTTTTTTTATAATGATGAAAAACGCTGAAGGGGTGGTCTAACTGCGATGGCTGCCGGTATCGACAGCCTAACAAAAGGATCAACACAGCAGAACCAATACCAAGCTTTTCACAGCAGTGGCTTCAATATGCGCCAACGATAACCATCGGTACATACCTAACTCCGAAAGGGCAAGCATGGGCATGAATTCTTCAGAATACGATAATACCTAACACATTTTCGCAAGAATTCAGTGACCCCAGCTTCCTTCCTCCCTTAACGTTTTTGTTCTGATCCTTACCTTAACACGTATGATAGTAACGTGTAAGAGAACGTGCGTTTGTTTGATGGCGTCCATTTAGCTGCTTGCTGTACGTTTCGTTGAACGGATAGCTAAAACAGTGCGCGGTCTCTTGCAGGTGGAGTACATGGCACGTGTAGACTTTTTGTCCCGAGCCAAACTACGCGTCGAGCACGATGAGATGGAGACCATGGGAAGCATCAACAAGATTCTGTTGGAAAACATCCTGCCGGCACACGTCGCAGCACACTTCCTCAACAGCGGCAGGGTTTCACAAGTGTGAACCTTCAAAATTGCCTCTCGTAGTTGATATCGTGCTCATTCTTCGGAAGCATCGCGCCTGCATATTGAAGCGGGCTTACTCAAAGCTCTATAGCAGAGCCCACAATATTAAAGCGGGAGGTCTCGCCCTCTTTGGTTGTTGTCGCTTTATATGCACTCTATTAGCCGCGTTCACACAGCATCCACTGAGCATGACGTAGATGCTGAAACGTCACAAAGCACGCGAAATCGGAGCGTTGTTGAAGTGAAACTTTTTTATTTGTAAGGCAGAGCATTCGTTTTTTTTTCTTCTAACCATAGGCATATCGAATAATCTTAATTATTCTTCCACATTGTCTTAATAGGTGCATTTACTGGCCATTCATATTTATAAGGACATAAAGGAAGTGTCAAAGGGCTGCTCTTTTATCGCACGAAGGGTACACGCGTGCAAATGGGCCTCTTTTTGTGCAAGGAAAGAGCAGCCCTCTGGCTTTTCCCTTGCACAAAGGGTACACGATATGAAGCATATTTTATAAAGTGTAATGGAGTGAATTCATTTTCATTTGAAGGCACTTTTCAACTAAAACGTAAAAAAGAACGAGCATGACTGAAGCAAGGCCTAATTTCGTGCGCCCTACGCGGCTCTCACGTAACGCTTCTCGTCGATGTCTTTCTGTCTGTTCTTAACAGGAGCTTTATCACGAACGCTACAGCAACGTGGCGGTGATGTTCGCTTCCATACCCAACTACATAGAGTTTTACGACGAGACTGACGTCAACAAACAAGGGTTGGAGTGCTTGCGACTTCTCAATGAAATCATCTGTGACTTCGACAAGGTCTGAAGTGTTCCGAGTAAATTAAGTTGTTCATTTTTAGGATGAATATTATGCGCCGAGGTTTTTCTAATCCCCTTTAACTCATTTGTGTTTCAGCTCTTGTTGAAGCCGAAGTTCAGTGTTATCGAGAAAATCAAGACTATCGGCAGCACTTACATGGCTGCAGCTGGCCTTCAACCCGGCCGGGAAGAAAATGGGGTGCGTATAGGCAAAAAAACATGCATAACGTATACGCCAAATGCCGCATCAACTGTCATAAATGAAAAAAAAAAGTTTAAGTTCACTTTTTTTCTTAGTGGGCACCTTTACGTGCGAACAAAAGTCAACAAAATAAAGAAGGTGTGTATATACATAAAACCCAAAATATTGCTCTTCGCCTCGTTAGGTTGAAACATTATTACTGTATCTTGTGGTGTCAAAAAAAAGCATTTCACAATGTGCCACACAATTACCAAATATTTTTTATACATGCAGACGTATGCGCGTGCATATACTGCGCTGATGTACAGCAACATGCATCGTACAAAGTTGTACGTGCATGATGACTTGTCTTCTAACACCGCGACGAAAAGCGCTGCTTTATAGTCTCTAAAAGACATCAGCACATCCGAATCCAACAACCCAACAAAAAATTATCAGTTTCTTCATGAAGTGAATCCATGAGGTCCTGCGACCGTGGGTATTCATGACAGCGGTGATCCAGGAGCCAATAACATCAAAAACAAAGGTGAGGACACAACCGCATAAACTAGCTTCTGGCCTTTCTTGTTTTCTTGTCTGCCGGAAAAGGTGACATCTTCACGCTATCTCTGTTTCCACCGTACCTCTCCCTGGAAAATATTTGTTCTACAGCAGTTTCACATAAAAAACAGCGCCAATAACGAGGGACAAGAAAAGAAGGAGACAGACAGTTGCACTGCTGTTTGATGCTGTCTAATGATGAGCCACACGCTAACAAGCCAATCCTCTCTTTTGGTTCAGCACATTCAAAAGTGGTGAAGCGCGCTATTGCTAAGACTTGCTACACAAACGCTCTGCGAAGGTTCTGCCATCACATGATTTGGTCCAGCTTTAATCAGCAAACTGAACGCCTTACTGAAGCTGGTTTGCCGATATACGTTTTGACCGCCGTTGCTGAGTTTCTACACCGAAAAATCAGAATGAGCCCAGAGATTAATGCTGGAAGCCGTACAAATAATAAGGAACAGGAGAAACGAAACTTCGTCGTTGATTGATTGATTTGTGGGGTTTAACGTCCCAAAACCACCATATGATTATGAGAGACGCCGTAGTGGAGGGCTCCGGAAATTTTGACCACCTGGGGTTCTTTAACGTGCACCCAAATCTGAGCACACGGGCCTCGACATTTCCGCCTCCATCGGAAATGCAGCCGCCGCAGCCGGGATTTGAACCCGCGACCTGCGGGTCAGCAGCCGAGTACCTTAGCCACTAGACCACCGCGGCGGGGCCGAAACTTCGTCGTTATTTTCTATATCCACGGCGTCACCCACAACCTCAAAAAAGTGGCCAGCAGGTGCGACGTAGACCCGGTTTTTTCTGCCCCAGAAAAGCTGGCTAAGTTGTGCAGGTCCGTCAATCCTGGTTCCAGGGGAGAGCGAGGCTGCAAAATCAAGCATCGGATGAAGTACGTTCCATTCATCGAAGGGGTGGTGTACTCTCTACCCCTGTCCTGCGGCAAGTGGTACATCGGCCAAACAGGCAGGTGTTTAAATGAGCGGCTGAAAGAGCACGCTCACAACGTCTCCTCAACAGTTTCGGGCCACCTCGGCATTCATTGCCGAGACTGCGGTTGTGTCCCTGATTTTCAGCATTGTACCGTCATTAGGCGTCATCGGGACCAGATGATACGTGAAATTTATGAGGCTGCGGAAATAGAAAGGCTGGGCAGCGCATGTGTCAGCAGGTCTTCGCTTGCGCTATCACAAAAAGAAATATATTTTCTTCAGAACGTTAGCACACGTGTTGTTTATTGTGCGTTATGACGATGGCTATGCAGTTGTTAGGTGAATTCTGCTTTCTTCGTTTTGTATTTTTCTTTTTTTTTTTGTCAGATACTTTCCAAGTATATATTGTGCGGTTCTAGCAAATAAAACTTGTAAGTCAGTGCCGCTGTCGTCTCCTTCTTTTCTTGTCCCTCGTTATTGGCGCTGTTTTTTATGTGAATCATGTCGTACCAACTCGCCCAAGCAACCACGTTATCTACAGCAGTGACATACAAAAGCACGGTCATCTTTCAAACACACCTTCCACAACGTATGAAACACGCCAGAAATATAGATGCTTGCAAGAACACGGGAGCTTTACTAGATTGCGGCATCAAATGTGGCATCTAATTCTACAGCAGATGAGCCTACGCGACAAACCGGCTATAATGGCCTAGACCTACGCATTGTTAAAAGATGGGAGAAAGATAGAGATGGCGGAGAGAAATAATATCAAACGAAAGCCCAAACACATCAAGTATGCGAAGCTTTCATTCGCCCGTCAGTGATCAATCACTGTTCATTAGTATTACTAATACTAAGTTTATTATTGTTGTTATCATCACTAGTAGTAGTATAGTAGTAGTCGTCGTCGTCGTCCTCATCGTCGTCGTCGTAGTAGTAGTAGTAGTATTACCTCATTGGGACGTGAATCAAAGTGCTGAAGAGAAAATAACGGTTGTGGTTGCCTTGAGTTGTTTTAGCACAAATAAGATCGAGTGTTGAGAAATAAAAAAGGGCATTCGCTAAGTAAGAAGACAGAAAGGATTCATGATTAGCGCCATCCTTCCAGCATGTTATCTAAGTTCTCTAAGAAACATAATAGAAAGCTTGAGTTAGTTGGCATGCGTTTATCTTTGGTTGATGCAGTGCACCTTGGACGATTGATTGATAGATATGTAGGGTTTAACGTCCCAAAACCACTATATGAATATGAGAGACGCCGTAGTGGAGGGCTCCGGAAATTTCAACCGTCTGGGATTCTCTAACGTGCACCCAAATCTGAGCACATGGGCCTACAGCATTTCCGCCTCCATCGGAAATGCAGCCGCCACAGCCGGGATTCAATCCCACGACCTGCGGGTCAGCAGCCGAGTACCTTAGCCACTAGACCACCGCGGCGGGGTGCACCTCGGACGAGAACAAAGAAATAAGAATCATTGGACAGGCGCTATAAGCAAGGACAGGCGCTGCTTCTCATTTATTTGTCCTGCGTCCAGTGTGCGCTGCATTTCTGAGAAGTGCTGTGCCAGTATACAAGCGATGAAACAGGTGATTTCATCTTGCTAACTGTCCGCTATTATGAGTATACTCTTGAGAAGAACAATAAACGAAGCCTCCGACATACAGCTAGCCCCGTCGGCATCTGTAACTTTTTATTTTTTATTACAATACTGTTATGCACATTCAAGTTATTATGTCCACCAGTTCCGAATCAATTTTGTTGCAGTAACTGTGTTTCTTGAATCACTGTATGACCTGCAATAAGACTTGTACTTAAGCAGCAACAATCAGGAGTGAAATGTAGTGAAGCGATGTTGTGCAAAATTTTTGAGTCGCTTCATAAATAACGAAGGCCATTTGATCTAGCAATGAGTTGCTCTTCGTGCGAACTAGACTTTGTTACATGCCCAGCATTTTGTTAGCATTAGTGTCAAAGGGAGGAAAACGTATCTTAGGATAAAGAGATGAGATAATGCAAATGAAACAAAACTTTAGGGCAGCTGAATTCTTAAAGTGCCTTATAGAGTATAGTCGAACAAGGAGTTTCGCTGGAGTCAAACGCTTCGACAAGGGTACGTTTTACGTTAAGACGGAGATAGGTCCCCACGCTGAAACACTGGCTCTAACGACACATCATCGTTGGTCCATCGGTGCATGGGAACCAAATTTTGCGAGTATAGAATAAAGCCGGAACAGAGGTGCTATCTGAAAATTGCTGCAGTTGACATAGTATAGGCCGATGAGGATAACGGTGCAGCTGAATTGGCATCGTGAACAGGTAGTTTGTGTGCCACCATGCATCATTTGGTATGTTTATTTGTGTCTAATTTTACACGCCATTTATTCACGTAGGACAAGCCACGTGATGATCACAACGTTGTCAGCCTGGTGGAGTTCGCCATCGCGCTGACGGCGCTTCTCGAGCAAATAAACAGAGAATCATTTCAACGCTTCAAGCTCAGAATCGGTACGTCATGTCTACCACACCTTTGTCTTTTTTGCTCGTGCTACATCAGAAGTTTGACGTAGGGTACACTTTGCTACTTATTATTAGTTTTACAACGTTGCCCCCGCATTTTTTTTATCGTCAAGTTTGAGCAGTCATCACCCGCTCTATAGATACAACTCCTTCCTCTCAGAATATTTTTAACCGCTTATCACGCCAAGATATTCTCTTGTAATGAATTTTTAAGCCCCAGGAGAAAACAGCTCTCATCTTATATTGCAGCATCGTTTTCTTTGTGGCACCACTGGCGGACAACACCACATTGTTTGCATCAAAGCTGCTGGCTGTTTAATAAGCCCACCTGTCTGAAACTCTTCATTAAAATTAATGAATGGCAGCTCTCTGACTCATCCAAGTAATTTCCTTTTTGTGCACCGAAGTGGATGAGCGATTGCCCACAACTTTTTTTTTTCTAATAACATCGGCCTCTAAGGTGGATCAGTGTGTGGGACGTTCCGCTACTACGGCTGCGGGTTCAATCTTAGCTCCAAGAATACTTGTTTACCATGCTTTGTACTCACAGTATAGTATAATAATACCACTTGATATAAAACAATTTAGAGCCCTCCACTAAAGTGGCTCAACCACTGTGCTTTTTCAGAGCGTAAACTTCACTTTTTATCTTTATTTGTGGTCGTCTTGAAACGCAGAATAAAACGGGAATTTTTTTTTGCGCTCTTAGCTTGTTATAAAGATCACAAACCATGCATAAAACCGAATAACGCCTCTGTGCTCAACGACTATCAATTTTTCACCTGTTTATAAAGACGATAGTTTTTCTTGGGCACCTTCTACGAAAAAATTTTGGTCTGTCTGTTTGTCTGTACATTTGTCTGTTTGTCCACTCTAACGATATCCCAAACGGCATCAGACGGCCAACCTCATCCGCAGCGCCCACCAATATTGCTCAAAATTTAGCGTTCATAGTTGTGCGATTGTCAATTAAAAAGCAATTATTGCGCATATCTGAGACACCACAACAACGCTTCGATGTTTTCTATGTCTGCCTTTAACTAGAAGAAGCACACACAAGTAACTCTAGGAAATGTAGCGTTTATTCGCGCTGCGCTGACAGTGGTACGCGATGCTCAAAAAGGTGTTTCCAACGCTTTGCTACGACGTCACGGTAGTGGCAACTGCCCATCGCTTTGCGTTCTACACCTTATACCTCCGAGACTGGCGCGCATCTTTCTCCGCGGGCTGCACGCCTTCGTTTTCGAAGATAGCTGCCAGATGGCACTTGTGTCTAACGTGCCTAGATTCACTCGTTCGCCTCCGCCACACGCTCGAGGCACTCTAACGCAGCGTCTGCAGACAACCATTCACCAATTTTCTTGCGCAGAACATCAAATAAACGTTTTGATCACTCTCTCCAGACGCAAGACTATCATCTTTCGACGATATTTACAGTGTAACATGTAGATTCGGGCCATTTTTTTTTCTCTTACCTGATACTCGCAATGCAGGCTGCCTGAACGAGCTGCACGAGTCTAAGGTGTATAGGAAATAGCAAAGCCTATTCTGTCTTCAACTTTTCAGGTATCAACCATGGCCCAGTCATAGCCGGGGTCGTGGGTGCACAAAAGCCCCAATATGATATTTGGGGCAACACCGTCAATGTTGCCAGTCGTATGGACAGCTGCGGCGTCATCGGCCGGATCCAAGTACGTGATACCTTCAGCTCTTAAACTTTTTTCAGAACAAAATATGCGTAAGACCATTAAGAAAACAAACAAACAAACCAATGAGTGGCGTCTTGACAGCAAAGACAATTCACGATTGAAAAATATAATTCACTAATGATAATTATTGTTGAAGTTCAACGACCCTACAATTCAATTATTAGGGAATGCGCAGTGGTGGACTTTGGAAATTTTGACCACCCAGGGGTATTTAACGTGCGCGTAAATATAAGTATTATGTTCCACCGCGGTGGTCTAGTAGCTAAAGTACTCGGCTGCTGAACCTCAGGTCACGGCTGCGGTGGCTGCATTTCCGATGGAGGCAAAAATGCTGTAGGCCCGTGTGCTCAGATTTGGGCGCACGTTAAAGAGCCCCAGGAGCTAGAAATTTCCGGAGCACTCCACTACGGCGACTCTCATAATCATATGGTGGTTTTGGGACGTTGAACCCCCCATATCAAATCTAAGTATTATCGACGTCAAATGATAAGTGAACAACGACACGCATATAGTGCACGCGTCATCAGTGCTGCTGAACCAGATGCCTGTGCCTGTCTGTCTAATGGTGATAACTGGACGGCACGCACTGTAGCATTGCTAATGCTTGCCGCTGTTCGCGTTTAATTTGACATCGATAGTACACGAATCTCAAGCAATTTCGTTTCTCTCAAAAATGCGGCCGCCATCTCCGAGGTTCGATCCCACTACGTTCGGGTCAGCGATCGAGCACTATAACCACTACACCATCGTGCCAAACGAAACTGAAAATACCTTCCTGAAACTAGTCTCACCTGTTAGCGTTTATAACTAATGTCGCGTACGAGGGAGTTAATCTGAAGGTAAATGCGGCTGCGTTTCCGATGGAGGCGGAAATGTCGTAGGCCCGTGTGCTCAGATTTTTGTGCACGTTAAAGAACCCCAGGTGGTCAAAATTTCCGGAGCCCTCCACTACGGCGTCTCTCATAATCATATTGTGGTTTTGGGACGTTAAACCCCACAAATCATCATCAATCTGAAGGTAAATCCTCAGTGTACAAGAAAATGGTTGGTGTGGGTGTCCACCTGAATAATGGCATCAAATATTTGTACCCGCCCCCCCCCCCCCCCCCCCCCCCATACTTCTTGGGCACATAAAACGTGTTTGCACAACAAGCTTTCTCGGTCAATAATTGCCTGCACAGCTACCACACGTTTTGCTTACCTCTCTCTATTTTCTTTTTGCCACTTCTTATATTGCTGAAATTAAATTCGTTTAATATGCGAACTGTGTTCGGTCGTAAGAAATCAGCCGCAAGTGCGTCAAGTTGAAAGTTCGAACGAGGATGCCTCAGTCGATCCGACAGCATTTACATGAACTCAAACGACGTTCGCTTATTAACCTTTTGTAACACAGTGGTGCAACTGTGTTCAGCTTTGTCACTCTGTTTCTGTCACAAGCAAGCACTCCAGAAAGCGCGCGCCTCTCATTTCTATCGGCTACGTAAAACCAGGCGCCATGCAGACGCGACAGAAGCCGGCGTGAAGAAGAAACAAGCATTAAACGCCGCTCGCGCGTCTCTTCTCCCTGTGGAGAACGCTGCCGCTACGCCGACCAACTTCCTCGCATCTATCGCCGAGCGCACTCTAGAAATATCGAGAAGGAAGAAGTGAATCACACCCTGGTTGCGTCACAAGTCACGGACAGTTCGAGAAAGGTTCCGCCCCTTCTCCAGCTTTGCTGTGTGGCACGCCAACAAAACTTCTAGAAAATAGGGTGAACGTAAATAAGCGAGCAGTGGATAGGGGCGATCAGGGCATGAAGTGGGTTTTTCACTTGCGAAGCCGAAGGCTTGTCTTACAAGCAGGATATGAGTGTGTGTTTACCGCCAGAGGGCGAAGACGTGTCATGTTCTCCCGAGGCAGCACACAGACGAGGCTCGGTTTAATTGTTGACTGACGTACACGGCCAGCAGCAAGTTTATTTCACTGATCACGAGAGCGCTAAAAAGTGCCGTCTTGTGGCGCCATGTGAAACTGCTTAGGCTGATGGCAGCAACATGAAATTCCTTGTTGCCTTATTAAGAAAAGTACAAGTGAAACAAACAGGAAAATCAAAATCAAGAAGCGCTATAATGGGCCAGCAAAGTGTTCAGCATGATTACTGGGGCACATAACGCATAACAGGTTTCCGCACTCAAGAGCAGCGGCGAAGTGGAGTCTGGGAAAGGGCCCCTGGCTTCAGGGCATGCACCCAGATCACTGGTGACACATACACATGTTCCCTCTAATTCCCCAGACGAAGCCTCCATATTTGCAGTGGTACTAATGTTCTCTGTTAGTGAGTAGGACGTGGCAGATCCCGCAGCATCTAGAGGCACACACTTGAAACATCTTGAGGGTCTATGTGGGAGCGGCCAGAATGCTCTGACTGCTCAGGCTGCCACGGCACCGCCCATGCTGTTGCATCCCTTGGCGGCCATCTGGTAGTCTTAGCACTACCGCATACCCTTTGTCCGCTTCTACTGTTGCCGGTACCCAGGAATGACCTCGACGAAAATTACGAGCGCAAACAGTCGTTCCTGGCGATGTGGCTACGGCTTCTGCCGATCCTCTGTTGATCTGGAGACTCTGAGAAAACTGCTGAGACATCAAAATGGTCCGTAAATTGGGCCGTAGTAAATCTAAAGCCAATTTCAACTTGCGGCCCATGAGACGTTCAGCTGAAATACAACCTGTTACTTCATTCGAGTTGGTCTCGTTTGTGAGGGAAATTTTCGCAATCTGTACGTGCAATTCATCCCCTGGCTGCGCTTTCTTCAGGATCTGTTTAATGGTCTCTACTGCACGCTCCACTGCTCCATTAGAAGCTGGGTGGTACGGTGGTAGAAAATTTGTCACATGCCGTTTTTACGCAAGAAGATCTTTTATTCTTCGCTCACGAACGCTGGGCCATTGTCGAATATGACTACATCAAGGAATCCGTGCGTAGCGAACGTTTTTTTGCTCGCAACCAGTAGTGGCTGCAGTCGACGGGCTGCATGCGGGGAACACTTCTATCCACGTCGAGTATGCGTCGACTGCTATGAACAAGTACGCATTCCTTAGAGGTCCAGCATAATCTAGATGAATACGAGACCACGGTCTTTGCGGAAACGGCTATAATTGGATCGGCACCCGTCTAGTACTCGCTAATTTTCTTAAAAGGTGCGGCATGCTTGCACCGCTGCCGTGACGTCGTCTTGCATGGCTGGCCACCGAACATGACTACCGGCCACCGCTTTCATTTTCCCTACTCCTGGATGCCCTTCATGCAGTAGTCGCCGCATGTCGACCTGCATAGACGCGGGCACTACCACCCTGCTTCCTAGCACAATGCAATCACTGTTCACATTCATTTCATGAAGGCGAGTGGCGTAATCTTTTCATGGAGCTTCTAGAATAACTGTCCTAACAGCCTAAAGTGCTTTGCGAAAGCGTGACAACAGCGTGTTTTTGCCAGTAGCGGCCGTAAAAGCTTGCGCCTACATCACTCTGGGGTAAGATCCTTGAAGCCTAAAAATCTCCGGCGGGTTCTAGATTTAAAAATCAGCTGTTGAAAGCGGAAGTCGGTTCAGAGAATCGGCCTATGGAATGTACCCACCAGGCTTGTACTTCGACACGTAATCATAGCCCGATAGAAAATGTTCTCAGCGGTGTAGTCGAGGTGAGCAAGACTCTGGAATCGAATTATTTGCCGCCAGTAGCCCCAAAAGTGCCTTGTGATCGGTTGCTATTTCGAATCACTGTCCCCAAAGGCACTCCTTGAAACGTGTTACCCCGAACATAACTTCTAAGGCTTCTTTATTGAGCTGGTTGTAGTATCGCTCAGATGTGACCAAGCTTCTGAAGGCCAAAGCGATTGGCCGCTTTTCTCCCGACACTTTTCGCTGAGCTATAACTGTGCCAAGACCATATGGCGATGCATCGGTTGCAAGCATTATAGGTTTCTACGGGTCAAAGTGCGCCAATGTATTCGCCGAAGAGCTGCTTGCTTTTGCGGAAGGCCTCCTCCTGAAGTGTTGCGCAAGTCCATGGTATACCTCGTACCAATAGACCACTGAATGAATTCAGTACCGCTGACAAGCGACCGATAAACTTCCGATAGAAGTTGATCAACCCAATAAAGTTTTGCAGAGTTTTCACGTCTTGTGGCCCTGTAGCCGAAAGGATGACTTCATCGTTCCTGGGGCTAGAATCCAAGCCTTTGGTGGTGATGACGTGTCCTAAATACTTAACGTGGTCCTTCATACGTTCACACTTTCCTAGGTTCAGACGCAAGCCGGTATCTTGTAGGCGCTCGAGCACTTTGTTTGCGTTTCTCCTGTGGTCCTCGTCAGCGTTTACGGTCCCCAGGATATCGTCAAAGTAGACCACAAAGTGAGGAATGTCGCTCAGCAAGTTGTCCATTTCCCGCTGGAACAACGCGGACGCTGGAGCGACACCGAACGGAAGCCTAATGAATTCCAACAAGCCTTTCACTGTATTGATAGTGACTAGCTCCTGCGACTGCGCATCTATAACTTTATCTGGTGATAGGCGTCCTTGAAATTCAATTTTGTGAACTTCCTTACACCACACAGTTTGGCGAACAGCTCTTCGATCCTGGGAATTGGGTAACATTCAGTGACCGTGTTGCAGTAATAGTGACCTTGCAATCAACACACACGCTTAGTCTACATCTTGCTTCACGACTGGAACTGGTGTATTTCTCACCTTGTCACCGACTCTGTTTCGGGAAGGTCGTTTATGTTATATACAGTGCAGGAGCTAGTCCCATTCTTTCCGTTAATCCCAGCTCTCTTGCAAACGCTTGCAAGGTGACCCTGCTGACCGCACATGAACGGGTAGTGATGTGGTGCCGGCAGCGCATCGTCTGGTGTCTGTCAGTGCACCAGGCGCACCTTAGCTCCATCATCTTTCTTTTCGGCTGCTCCAAGTTTGCTGACTGTACCATATCTGCTGAA